CCCGGGCCGCTGGCCAGGGTGGGGCCGCAGCCCAAACCCGCTCGGGTGGTAGAGCACCAGCGTCTCAAAGGCGACCTACATCTCGGCTTGGTGTCGGGTCGATCTCGGCTGAAACATCGAATCGGAGAGCACAAACGGCTCAAGGAGACCAACCCCGCGCCGACGGCGAAGCCGGCGGCGCACTTTGCTCCGAAACGGTGGCGCAAGCTGCGAGGCGAGCGAGACTCGTGAGGGGCTGATTTGGGGCGGAGTGGTGGCCGCGGGGCGCGGTAATCTGGCTTGCAAGGCGGGCACTGGCGCTCCTGTCGCGCGGCAGCAGCGGCTCCAGCGGGCCTATAAAGAACACGTCAACGAGTCTTGGAGGGCCGGTGTGAGGGTGCATCCGTGGCATTGGGAGGCCTCCGTCTTTGAGCAAGTTTGGGAGGAGCGCGCCGGGCAGGATGAAGGTGATCGCCATCATGAAGGCGGCCACCTTCGGGACGGGCCAAAGTGTCATGGCTTGCGGCCGCCTTGAAAGACTACATCTCTGGACCCAAGAACCGGCTCGACATCAGCTTCACAGCGCGTGGCGGAGCTCCGTCCCGCGACAGGCCACACGGCATCATTGGTGACAGGGCTGGGCTGCTCGTCGCCAGCCCAACGGGCCTAGCGCCTTGACACTTTCTCCTCGACTGTAGGCCAGTCCTACACCACGATAGGGCTTGTGCGTACGGCGCACAAAGCCGTGCTCTGAAGCGATACACACACACGACAGGATAGACGAGAGACAGGTGGAAGTAAGGTACTTTAGCCGCTGCGCGCCGCGGCCTTTCTTTTTTTCCTTTTCCGCGTTTGTGTGCGGGCCACTTTGGGCTTTGGCCTTTGAGCCGCACCATGGCGGCGAGCTTCAGGGCGGCGAGCTTGGAGGGCAATCGCGCCCCTTTTGCGGCTCGAGCTCGCTGGCGCGATCATACTCGAGTTGTTGGCGCCGAACGCCATTCTCGAAGCCAATCGTCAATCCCACGGAGTCACGGGTCCGCGTCGGTGGAGGCGGCGCATTGCTGGGCGGCCGCCGCGGCGCTTTCCATCTGCTCAATCTTCTCGAGGGAGAGGGACTTGATGGGCATGAGCTTTGGCTTACACAGGACAGGGGCCAGGCTGCCCTTCTCGGAGAAGACCAGCCCCGCCTTGGGGAGCACCTCCTGCAGCGTGGGCTGCGCGTCGCTCATCCACGCGTCAACTCAACGCGCGAAACGTCGAGCGGAGAAATAAACACTTCGTCATTTCTTTTCTTACAAAATTTTAATTATTGGCGGGCGCCGGAGTGGGAGTGGTGTGACTGCTC